ATCTGAAGCAGTTTGGCTATTAGCTGATATTTAAAAATCATTTTGTAAGACTTAATTCAGTGCTATAAGAATAATTGCTTTGAATGTGTAATTTGTACTCATTTCTAAATTTTAATCAAGTCAGAAAAAAGATGAAATTATCCTAAAAGGAATAGGTTGGAAAAGTTCTTCAGATGTGTCACAGTTTAAAAAAGACAAAATGGGAAAGAGTTTTGAATTTAATAAATCCAAATTTTCAAATAATATGGCAAGAAAGAGAAGAAACATCAACATACTTATCTATCATATGATGGGATACGCAGAAGCTGCAAATATACATTATGCAGTCACGAAGGAGACATAGGATGGTCTTTTTTGAAGCTATCGGCCACCGTTAGATTCAGATTATGGAGGTTCTTGAAAAGTGCTTTATGTTTATTTAAACTTTTTTTATATTGAAAAGTGCTTTTAAAACAACTCTATAGCTCAAACTGTTCCCTGATCACCATGCAACACTAAAGTACTTATGCTTAAAACAAAGATGCACATCATTAAAACCATAAAGCTATGTTCCTCTATGTAAGTCCAAAACGCACCAATAATAAATGCACAGCTTAAGAAACCAAAATGTAATTTGCTTTTCACTTACTGACATTCTTTTTCCAAAATACTTATAGCTCATATGTGCTAGCTCTTCATCATATATAGGTTAACTAATTTACAGTATGAAATACAATTCAATTCACCTATGTCTGCTGCAATAAGTAAACTGTACTAAACTAAATATTCTCAACTAAAAACATGGAGAGCAACAATGCCCTAGATCCCTTTAGAGACGCAATTTTCCACAAGGAAAATTCATGCCAATTTACTAAAGTGTTTTATCAATCAGACTTCTTTCCTGGCAAGCATTTAATTTTTAAGATGACAAAAATCCTGGAATTTGGCTAGAATTTGCTCTCATATTTTTCCATTCACTGGACAGATGCTTATTACTTTACAATGAGGCTATCTTCCCCCCAACCCATGGTAAATTAAAAATGTCTTTGAAGATACACTTAGTTGACTGAATATCATAGTTAAAACTGCCTTAAACATTGCCTGCAACATTTAGCCTACTGTTCAACAAAGTTATCAAACACCAAACTCATAATTTATTAAAGATTGTATTCATAGAGAAAACAGAATGGCTGCACAGGCCCAAGAGATAGAGACTGGTGTTTCATAGACACGATGGCATGAGAAAACATAACACCCCCAAATGCTCACAACACAGTATGATGTAGGGTGCCTCTTGCTTCCCCTCATGATCCCACAGCAGACGGGGAGCTGCAGCTGATGCCTGCTACCTGCTCCTAGCTGGTAGGCGTGGGGTGGTCGTGGTCTGAGTGGGAGGCAAAGGCATAAGGCCAGATCAGCAAAAGACCAAAAGTCAAAGTATCATTTCTGTGAAATAAATACGGATTTCCCATCACAATAAAGCTGAAAAAAAAAAAAATGGCTAAATCAAACCATCAAAGGTCATCTGTAACAGAATAATGAAATCAAAGTGCAATGTTTCCTTTTACGTTGTTATTATCATGCATATCCAGAGGAACACTGAGATACAGTTAAGAATAAGTGGAATTCACACAAAACTTTTAAAATCTCATTGCAACCAATGGCTTCAACTTCCTTCTACATTAAACATTTTCTAGAATGTCACAGATTTTTTTCCCTCCCCTGAATTCTTTAATTATTCCAATTAACATTTTCTAAGACTGTTCTATATAAAACATACTTTGATAAATACTTGCACGTAACTATTTCAGCTATCAAACTGTGATGACATCTTCACTGCTACATACCAGGGGGTTTCAAAAAATTTAAAGAAAATCCTTAAAAAGAAAGCAAATTTCCATGAACTTCTTGAAACCCCCTTGTACAATTAAGGAAGGCTCATAAAAGCTAACTAACTTGTCCATGGCTACTAAGTATGGAAGGCCAAAAGTGCATCTGCACTAAGGTTTTTATGTGGCATCTCAATTATTTCCTACTCTTTAATTCGGACATCACAGGCTGTCATGTAATCAATCTGTACTGCAGGCTTTCACCCTTACACTTCTTATTCTTTCCTGTGTTCCTGTTTATAACAGCAACAACTGTGTCATGTTCAATGATTCAAGTTACTTATATGACAGAAGCATGCCAATATAGATTCTGGCAAGTTTCAAGGCCTCTCTCGGGGCCTCACATTCCAGATACCCAAATTAATTGAGTGATTGCTGTTCAATGTTTTATATGCAATAACACAATTAAAACAACAATACAATCAGATCAGTACTTCCATTTTTCCCATTTAATGGAACAAAGAGCTGAGGGCTGGACAGGTGCTCCAATCTGTCCAATGTTAATATTAGGAGGAAGGCCAGACTTGCAAAGCCAAGTTAGCTCTGTCCAGAGTGCTTACGCAGTTGTCCCTCTAGAGTTAGATATTACTACATGGAATTGTATAATCGTGGGATTCACACAGTAGAGGAGATTCAAAAATACTCAATTCCTGGCAATGATTTCTTAACTATGACACCAAAAGTACAGGTATAATGAAACACATCCAAACATGAAACCTGTACCAAGTTCTATGCACTCATAGATGAACAGCATAATGGAGACTAGCGTACCAGGAAGTAAAGATACATTGCAGTACACACCTCTACTCCCAAATAAAAGTAGGACTCCCAATGAAACATTTAAATATACCAACTACAGTATGATACTCTGAATTTTCTAACTTTGCCTATATCTACAATGCCATGGTACACTAAATTAATAGAAAGTTACTAAGAGAATAAACTACTGTAATAATATGGGAGAAAATGGTGGGGAGAGAGGAGGGAAATAGAGGAAGGATGGGGGGAGAAAGGCATCCCTATAACTATCAAACAGTTTCATGGGAGATACAAACATTTAAGTTTTGTGCATTAAAGGACACAATTAAGAGAGTAAAAAAAGAAATCTACAGAATACAGAAATACAGAATGTGGAAAATATCTACAAAATATATTTTATCTAATAGATTAATATCCAGCCTGTATAAAGAACTACAACTCAACAACAAAAACACACACACAAATTTAAAATGGGCAAAAGACTGGAATAAACATTTCTTCAAAGACAATAGACAGATAAGTGTATGAAACCATTCTTCACCAGAGAAGAAACTGCAGCGCTGTCATCGCCTAGCCACCAGAGTGGCAATGGTGTCGACTCAGCCCTCAACAAGAGGAGTACCGCTGAGGACACCGAGAAACCGCTATCCCTGTGGACCGCTGGCGAGATCGTAAAACGCTGTAGCTGCTATGGAGAATGGCACGCAGGTTACTCACAAATGAAAAACACAACTAGCGTGTGATGCAACAACACTTCTTCTGGATGTACGTTCCAAAGAGAGACCAAAAACTCTCAGCACACTGACGTTCACAGCTACATTAATCCCAGCAGCCACAATGTGAAAGGAATCCAAACGTCTCTTCACAGGTGAAGAACACCAAATGTGAATGTATTTACAATGAATTATTAGGCATTTTAAAAAGAAAATGCTCTTGCATGCTGTCACGTGAAACTTGAGGACAGTATGTTAAGTGAAATAAGCAAATCACAAACACTGTGGGATTCCACTTACTCCACTGACATGAAGTATTGAAAGTAGTCCAGTTTATAGAAACAAACAATGGTGGTTTCCAGGGCTGGGGAAACAGGAAACAGGGAGCGGTGGTCCAGGTTAGAGTTTAAGATAGAAAGTTTAAACAAACAAACAAAAAACGAAAAAAAAAGCTCAGAGGACTCCTTACACAATGCAAATATTGTTAAAATTATGAAACTGTACACTTAAGAATGGTTATGATGGTAAACACTTTTTTTTTAGCAACTTGAAAACTGATTAACTTTGACTTTGCTTTCGTGTCCTCTGTTAGCTGAGTTCAATGCAATGGAAAGGATGGAGAGAAAAGCAAAGAGCACTAAGCCACAACCAAGTAAAATGAAAATGAACAAAACCACAAGAAAAGCAAACAGGCAGCCCCACATTGTTATCGACAATCTTAACCAGCAGATGCTCTGGCTTGCAAATGAGCAGTAAGTACTCCATTGGTAAGGCAATCCAGGGTAATGGTTCAAGGCCTTTTGGAATCTGAAAGCTCAGCTACTATTCTGAGTTTGACACTGTTTTGTAACCTTGGGTAAGATGTTTTCACTCATTCATTCATTCCCTCCCTCACTCATTCAAATTCCGTTTTCCCAAGAGTAAAGCCATTCCAAGGAATCCTGCGCCTCTACAGAGGACTGTTCTGAGGAGTTCCCAAAACAATTCAAATAAAAAAGCTAGGGACAACTCCTGGCACTCTCTTGGGTTAGCCATGATTACTCAGAAGCCTAGAAAGTAGGACAATGAACAAGGTGAGCTGAAACTAAACAAAGTCAGTATGCCACCTTAGAAATCGAATTTCTCAATAACGATCCAATCAGATACCATTTAGCAAATCACTCAGCCTCTCGATCATCCGTGTCACATGTAAAGCACCTCTGTCTCTCCCTCCCTCCTCCGGAAAAGCAATGTCATCTCAGGTACTGGAGATGGGAACAGTTTTCTAGAGAACCCAGAGGTGTGAGCCTGGAGCGAGCCACTGGAGTGCCCTGTTTCTCTCACTTCATTAGGGGCCTAGGCCTGATGCGGTGATGAGGACAGCGGGGCTGGGGCGCGGGGGGAGGACCAGGCCAGAAGGAACATCCAGATGTCAAAGCCCGCACTCCGGAAAGACAGTGCGAGTCTCCTCCCAGGAGAAGGGGCGCCGGGCACTGGCGAAAAGCATCCAGGTACCGGGTACCGGCAGGCAGCCTGGGGCAGGTGCAGAGGGAGCCCAGGGCAGCCGGGGCTGAGGCGGGCGGGCCCGGGGTGTGTGGGACCCTCGGCTCCCGGGCCGGGGGAGCGGCAGGGCAGGCGGGGGGACCTGGGGTCGGGGAGGCGGGGGCCGTGGAGGTCTCACCGCGGGCCGAGGGCAGCGGGTACAGCTTCTCGGCCTTGTGCAGGAAGCGCTGGGCCTTCTCGCGGTTGCCGGCATTCAGCGCCTCCCGGGCGATCTCCACACATTTTTCAGCCTCATCCCGGTTCCCTTCCATGGCTCGCGCCTGCTTCCGTTTCCTCCGGGAGCGCAGCGACGAGGGGCGGAAGCCGCCGCCGCCGCCGCGGAGGAGGTGAGGCCGGCCCGGGCGGGGGCGTGCGGTGGCAGGCGGGAGGAGCGCAGGGGACCGCGGCGGCGGCCCGGGTGGACGCGCGGGCCTCGAGCTCCGCCTCCTCACGGCGGCCTCCCCGCCCCCCGCGGGCCGCTACGCCGCGAGCCGCATCCTTCCCGGCTCCGGATCGAGCAGCTTGGCGAGCGGGCGGCGCTGCCCGGCGGGCGCCGCGGGGAGCCGATCCGCCGGGGCGAGGGCCCGGCGGGCCGCAGGGGAAGCCGCGCGGCCATCCCTGCACCCGCGAGCCGGGGGAAAGGGCCGCTGGTGTTCAGGAAAATTCCCAGGGCCCGTGGCCCCGCCCCCAGCCCCTGGACGTGGTCAGGTGAGGACCGCGGGGTCTGCACAGACTCGGCGCTTCCGGAGCACGGGGTTATCAGAAATGCCGTTCCAGCTGCACGCTTCTGCCCTACACGTCCCGCAAGCTCACCAGAGGTAGGGTAGCTCAATTTGGGTTCAGCCAATTATTTTGGTGATCTGCAGCCATTATCCAGTTAGGCAGAAACCAGCCCTTCGGATGTTACTACTGGTTCATTTTTCCGATTTGTCAACCTTACTTCTGTTTAGTGCCTCATGGGTGTCATGAGAGGAGGGATGGGAGGGCCACTTAATGCCAAGTATTATAATCTCCAAAGTTACAGAGCCTTTCAGAAGTAGGAAGTACACAGCAGAAAGCAGGTGTCCAAATGGTTCTATCAGATACTTTCATAGGTTCACTCACTCCCAGTTTACTTCAGGAGTGCCTGGCACCCTCGAGCTCCGGAGGGCTCACTCATTCTATCGAGGCAGCTCTGCGTGCCAAGTATCTCCCTTCAAAGTCCACCAGGGGACTAGTGTACCTGGGTGGTGCAGTCACGTGTGCAACCTGGCTCATTAGAAAACATGAATTACACTCGGTGCCTGACCTGTATTGGAGCTTAATGCTTCAATCTTGACGTCAGAAATGAAACGGGCTTTAGTTACTGCTGAAGACATTGCAAGCTAGTTTCTATCACAATCAAGCAAACTGAGAACACAACCAGTTTGGGAGATGACCTTTATTGAGCTTATCCACCTGGGTGGAAATAATGTCTGTACAAAACCAAATGTTTGTTACTATAACTTCTGCATCACAATTAAAACCCAAACAGTTTTTTTTAAAAACAGTCAACTCAATCAAAACCCACTACTTCAGAATCAATAGCTTCTTTGAAGCCACAGTTTAACACTTAAATATGGTTAAGACTTGAATGCAGAAATTTGGTTGGTTGGAAAGCTAATTAAACTTCCAACTTGCTCAAATAGAATTACAAAAAGGCAAAATCGTGTTTTTCACAGAGATACAGTCCACTGGAATCACCAACACTGGACAGTTGTTAGAGTATTTAGAGTCCTGAGAAAACAAGGAATCCAGGCAGCCTTTAGACAGTCTTCTGCTGTCCTTTCTTCCCGATCAGAGACTTGTGGATGTGCGGGATGACACCTGGGAAAGTGACACAGATTGTGATCAAAAACCCATCCAGTTGTATACACACACCAAATCTATCACGGCCATGTGGCATCAGTGAAAACATTCCTAAATGCCCTCCTCTACAGCAAAACCTAACGGGAATTAGAAGCAAAGGATTTTTCTTCCTCAAAGGAATGGGTACTAGCAAACCCCAGCTTTGTCACATACCACCACCAGCAATGGTAGCCTTGATGAGAGAGTCCAACTCTTCATCTCCACGAATAGCCAGCTGCAAGTGACGCGGGGTGATGCGCTTTACCTTCAAGTCTTTTGATGCATTTCCCGCCAGCTCAAGTACCTGCAAGGCGGACTCCGGTCAGTCTCCTCTGACCGAGATGCAGGACAGCAAACCCTCACCAAGGCTCCTGTGCCCAGTGCCAGCCCAGCTACCTGCAAGGCCAGAGAGGGGACACCGGCTCCCTCTAGCGTCCTCTCGGGCCTCGAGTTTTCTTGCATCACTTTCCTCCTTCCCTCTCGCCGCTCCCCCCCCCGCCCCCCAGCCCTGCCCATCCGAGGCGGACACTCAGTTACCTCTGCGGTAAGGTACTCCAGGATGGCTGCGCTGTACACAGCGGCGGTCGCGCCCACACGTCCGTGGCTGGTCGTCCTGGATTTCAGGTGTCGGTGAATGCGGCCCACCGGGAACTTCATTTAAAAACACAAGCATGCATGCGTAACGACATGGAGTCCAAGATGGGGAAATTAAACGCGCGCCAAAGCCAGGGGCACAGTCGCCAGTGCTGCACAGGCATCCCAGCACAGACACACACACGTGACCGCCGCAGCCCTCTCTCTCACCTGCCCCCCGGTATTTCTCGTGCGGGCAGCCCCCGCAAGTCGCGCATCAACGCATCACCAACGCAAAAAAAAAAAAAAGCAAAAAAAAAAAAGAAGACAAAAATCCCATCTGGGTCGAAGACACACAAGAAGGGGAGGTGCAAGATTTCGCAGGCGACTTGCCACCACAACTACTGACCTGCAAACCGGCTCTCTGCGAGCGGGAAACCGCCTTTGTCTTGGCCTTTCCGGAGTCCTTCCCAGCCTTACCGCCAGCCTGCGGCGCGCCGACGCCCGCGAGCGGAGGAGGATCGGACAAGATAGAATTACCGGGGCGGCGCGCCCCTCCCCCGCCGCCCTCGGCGCGCCCCGCCGCCCCCCGCGCGCCCCGCCGGGGACCCCGGGCCGCCACGCGCCGCGGGGGCGCCCCCGCCCGCCGGCCCCCGGAGGCGCCGCCCGCCCGCCCGCCCAACCGCCGCCGCCCAACCGCCGCGGCCGCGGCCCGGCTCGCCCCGGCAGATCCCCTCCCTCCACCCCACCCCCGCTGCGCTCAGTCCCGCTCCGCGCGTTCCCAACCGTCGCCGCTGGAGCCTCATCCCCGTGGGGGGAACCGGGGCTCGGCTCCCGCCAGAGCCCGCGCAGTCACCCAGCACCCGCCTCCGCCCAGCTCACCATTTCGAATTCTGCGGAAGCTCAACCAAGCAAGGCAGAGAAAAAGGGCTGATGCGACCCCCCCCCGGCGAGACCCCAACCACCGACTCCTCCGGCGCACCGCGATTCAAACTGCGCTGTCTCCCGCCTTCCCCGCGGCCTTTATACTGCAGAATGTTCCCTCATCCGGGAACTCGGATTGCTCATCCCACCAATGGCTGCCGCCCGCCCTCGGGACGCGTCCTTGAGGTCTCAGCCAATGAGGCAGCGGAGAAACGAGCGAAAGGGCGGGCGCTCCCTGGCTCGAGCCGCGATTGGCGCGTGCGGAAGGAGGTGGGGGAGGGCGGAGGGATGGGAACTGAGGGAGAAGAAGGGCACGGCGGCGGGAGGGAAGAAACACAAGGAGTCGCGCTGCGCGAGCGGAGCGGCCGGGACGCCGTGTCACGTGGCTGGGGGGCGGAGCCGAGGGGCTCAGGGGCGGGGCCAGGCATGGGGCAGCGCCCCCCGCCGGACCCTCCGCCAGGCTGAGGAGACCGCGCGAAGCGTCCCGGGGGCTTGGCCCGGCGCGGGTCCCTCACTGCCTCCGCCGAGTCGTGGCGGGCGGGAGGCTGTCTCCCCGCAGCCGGCTTCCGGGGCTCGCAGAGCGCTACCGCCTTGCCCGTCCCCGGCGCTTCTTCCCGTCTGACAGATGGCGCGACCGCGACCAGTGAAAGGGGGTCAGTTCGGCCACAGCCAGCGAGGAGATGCCGCGTTTACCTCCCCCAGGGCGACTCCCCAGCCGTCGGATGATCGCACTTGTTTTTCAGCGGAGTCCTTGCCTCTTCTCCCTCGGCTCCCACCCCCGCCGAGGCTGGGGGGTGGTTTTAAAACAACAGACGGTGGAGCCAACTTACCTCGCCCCTTCACAGAAGACCTTTTTGTTTACGTGCGCGCGCGGGGTGGGGGTGGGGGGGGTGCTTGGAGCTTCAATCAAATCATAAATCGTGTTTTTCCGGTGTCTGCACATCAGCGGGTTTTACCTATAGGCTGGTGTCTAAAGTTGATTTAGTGACATCTCCGAGCTGATTATGTGTCAACCTTTCCACGCTAAATATTTTGCTACACGACAAATGTTCAGTAAATGTCAGAGGGTTCCTAACGTGATTCACAAGCAGTTACAGATGGTCCATGTAATCAATTGCAAATGGTGGGCTGAAAAACTAGTCCTGTACACGTAGTACTAGAATACTGTCAGCTACTTCGTCTTCCAGCTAATAGATTAATAACACCTGTGAGCATCTCCAGCTGCTTGGAAATACAGTGTTACACTTCAATAGCTGAAGAGTTGCAACATGAAAAATTTAAAGACTACGCTCTACTTTAGGTGTCCATTTGAAAGGTTTGCTTTTTACCAAGAGACACTCAGGTTTCTTGAAGATAAACTCTAGTATATTTATCACAGATCATATTCCTCGTCGGAACTGAGGGGGCCTTATGATATCATCAATCGCAAGAGTTCGCCAGACCCCCACTGCGTTTGATAAGAATGTGGATAAAGAGCTATGCGTCTCAACGAAGTAGTTACGTTTGACTCCACAAGGCATCACCAGTTTGGACCGTACTGCCCTGAAGCCCAGCTGGAGAGAATCAGGGGAGAGTGTTGAATGAATGAACTCCGGAGCTGAGACAGGTCCTCTGCGTGGCTGCCTCCTCCTCACTGGCTCTGCTGGGTTACCCGCTTCGTGGAGCTTCTGAGCCGCTGTTATTCACATGGTGATCGCGGGAGTGAAGCAGAAGGTGTGCAGTGTACGGGATAGCCTGTGATGGACACGCAGTAAGCACTCAGCAGCTACTACTGCCTTCTACATTTTGTGGAAAACACTGAAATAACGTGTCTTCAGTTGCTCACTTGTTCTTCCTGTCTTGCACACTTCATTCCTTTGATGTGGCAACAGCAAGCCTGAAGCTTGCCCAAAGCAAACACAACCGAGTCAACCAAACTATAACCCAAGATTGATTTAATACTCTGAGTTGTTTCTTCAGAGAACAGGACATTATCAGTTTCTCCACTTTTTTTTTTTTCACTTGTTTTACTTGAAAGAATTAGAGAGAGAGTAACAGATCTTCCATCCACTGGCTCACACCTCAAATGGCTACAATGGTCAGAATTGGACCAGTCCAAGGCTGGGAGCCAGGAACTTCATCCAGGTCTCCCATGTAGGTACAGGGACTCAAGGCCTTGCACCATGCTCTGCTGTTTTCCAGGGAGCTGGATCAAAGTAGAGCAGCTGGGGCTAGAACCAGAGCCTATATGGGATACTGGCACAGCAGATGGAGGATTAGCTTGCTACACCATAGCACCAGCCCAAGTTCCTGCATTTATTAAATGTGGATTCATAATACTGGATAACCCAAGCCCACAGGACTGTGAAGCGGTCCTGTGAAGTACGGCTATAGGAGCTCTGTACTGATATTTGCGATACAGAGGCGCAAGTTCCCCCTGAGCTCACCTTAACATGATTGTGAGCAGGAGACTGCAGTGTTGAAACCAGAGGGGTACGTTTTGATTCCAAGTTGCCAGCTCTACATCTCCACAGAACAGATTACATCCTGCAATTTACAAAGACCAGGGGCAAGTTACAAAAAAGAGCAATGAATCTGCTTAATCAGAATCCTTAGCCATTTCTGGAAGAACAAATTTGAGACCATGATACCTACTACCACTTAAAAAAAAAAGGGGTTTATTCATTTTTATTGGAAAGCCAGATGTACAGAGAGAAAGAAAGACAAAGATTTTCTGTCTGCTGATCCACTCCCCAAGTGGTCACAACGGCCAGAGCTGAGCTGATCCAAAGCCAGGAGCCAGGAGCTTTTTCCTGGTTTTCTATATGGGTACCAAGGTCCCAAGGCTTTGAGCCATCCACTACTGTTTTCCCCAGGCTACAAGCAGGGAGCTGGATGGGAAGTGGAGCTGCCAGGATATGCACCAGTGCCCACAGGGAATCCTGGCACATGCAAGATGAGAACTAAATTTAGCTACTAGGCTACTGCACTGGGCCCCTGCTACCACTTTAAAAATGATATTTTCCTCCTACCTAAGACTTCTCAAAATGCTTGCAAAGTTACATTTCAATGTCAAAAATCAGGGTTACTTCCATTAATTAGATTAGTTATTTAAAATATTGAATTATTTGAAAGGCGGAGTTGCAGAGGGGAGACGATAACAGTCCTTCCATCTGCAGGTTCACTGTGCAAGTGGCTGCAATTGGTCTCCCGTTTGGGACACCGGTCCTGCAGGTGGCAGCTCATCCACTGCACCACAGCACTAGTTCCCATTATATTGATCTTCAGGATATTTCAGCACAGGGGCAAATAAGGGCATGTGTTGCTATTGTTTTCCAAAGAAGATTTCACTCAACCTATGTTAACTGTGTAACTCTTATCTTTTCAGCTAAATCGTAAACACACAGATGTGCACACAGGAGTCATGTCCTTACCACTCTTCCTTTTGAACAAGATCCATTTTTTTTTGTTTACTTGACACAGAAAAAGATTCTTCTGTCTACTGGTTCACTTCTCAAATGGCCACAATAGCCAGAGATAAGACAAACAGAAGCCAGGAGCCAGGAACTCCGTCCAGTCTCCCTCATGGCTGGCAGGTTTCCAAGGCACTTGAATCATGAGCTTGCCTCCCAGGATGCATTAACAGGGTGCTGGATCAGAAATGGAGCAGCCAGAACTCAAGACAGCACTCTGTCATGGGATGTTGTTCTCACAAGCAGCAGCTAATCCACTGCCAGCTCTCCTGACCACAGTTCTAACATGACAAGGAAAGTCGCTGTACACATTTAGTTCACCTCTATTATTTTACCATCTTCTTTTGTCTATATAGATTTGCACTGAGATGCAGTACTATACATCCTAACACTTGGCACATAGCCACTCCTTACCAATGAGGTATGTGGTGACATTATTTGGCTGCTTCCAGCTCTGTTAGCTACAACAGAACATGGCCCTCAGATTGTTCTCCAGGTGCTCACTTCAGCAGCACATGTACTAAAATTGGAGACACAGAGATGATTAATATGGCCCCTGTCAAAGATGACATACAGATTGTTCTCCTGGCCAGGCAATATGCAAAGCAATGGTGGGTAGGACGTGAGGTACATACAGCCTAGTTCCTTCCCTCAATGTAAGATTATTACAAAATAAGGACCCCCCAGTGGCTACCACATTAACAGTACCTCTAGTTTAAAGGATAGAGACAGCAGTGAACGGAGCCATTTTGAAGAATTGATGTTCAACTGAACTAAGATGAACTAAGTTCATGCTGCCCTTTTGACTGAAAAAGGCAGGATGTAATGAACAAGTAGCCATTTAAAGATAGATGTGGTATCCACTATCTCAGCCTCATCAGTGCTAGAACTTCCAATTTTTAGTAAGATACATCGCATCATAGTCTGTTTTGTGTTGCTCTCATACAGTTTGTAGCTAATTTATTAAGAATAACTTTGTCTCTCACAAATTTGGAGACTGGACCCTTGAAGCTCAATGCAGCAGGAGGTTCATCAATCTGATGAAGGCTACTGCCATCTTTCCAGAAGGCTCCTTGATGCCGGGTCCTCCCAAGGGCAGTAACACCATGTCATCATCAAGGGCAATGCAAGTATAGGAGAGATGAACTCCCTCTGCCTGTGGAGCCTGTTTAGAAGGGCACTGGATGCTATTCATGTTCCAACATTGGACAGGATGCAAACATCTAAACCATGGCACACAATCATTAGGATAAAACCAAACTTTGGTCACAAAAATATGTTTTGTTCAAAAGATGTAAACTGCAATAGTGTGTGCACGTGTGTGTGTAAGAGAGAGAGAGACACCAAGGAAATTTCCTTAACTAAGGCAAAACCATAATTTCTTCTGCTGCTGCCTGGAATGAAGACAAATGGAACGCTGTCTTGAACTATTACTTGAATAGAGAATAAGGCAGAAGGAGGAAAGGTCTTTGATGATGATCAAACATGCTCAAGGATCCTCCAAACTTTCACATCTGTTTAGTCTGAACCACTCTTGTTTTGGTTCATCTGCTGCTTGCAGTTGAACCCAAACCTAATGATTTGGAGCATGGACAGTCCCTCTTGTTTTTATAGGATACATTCAAAGGCATTTAACAACTGTTGGAAGACGTATATGATTATATGTATACAATTATTTCATAAATGTGCATGTTTATAATAAACCATAATTTATAATCTAAACACAGTAAGAATAATAATAGTAAAATATAGCAATATACTATAATAAAATGTAGCTGGATGCAGTCTCAAAATATCTAAATGGGGCCGGCACGATAGCGTAGTGGTTAAAGTCCTCGCCTTGCACATGCCAGGATCCCAGATGGGTGTGGGTTCTAATCCTGGTGGCTCTGCTTCCCGTCCAGCTCCCTGCTTGTGGCCTGGGAAAGCAGTTGAGGACGGCCCAAAGCCTTAGGACCCTGCACCCGCATGGGAGACCTGGAAGAGCTCCTGGCTCCTGGCTTTGGATTGGCTCAGCTCCAGCCGTTACAGCCGCTTGGGGAGTGAACCCTCAGATGGAAGATCTTCCTCTCTGTCTCTTCCTCTGTATATCTGCCTTTTCAATAAAAATAAATAAATCCTAAAAAATTCTAAGTGTTCTACACTCATCTTTCTTGTGATGATATGAGATGACACAACATAATGAGATGAAGTAACAGTCATTGTGTCATAATAATACGCTACTTTATAAAGAATACTTGAATATAAGCACTGGCATCCCATGACAATCAACTTAATAATTGAAACAGCTATTAAGTAACTAATGGGCAGATGGTATATACACCATGGATATGCTAATACACATTCCAGGCAAAACAAGACAGGCGGTTAGGGAAGGCATTTGACATAGCATTAGGAATATAGCGAAGAGTACCCATATTCCATATCCCACTACCTGGCTTTGATTCTCAGCTCTACTCACAAGTCTAGCTTTCTATTAATGTATGCCCTGGGAGGCAGAAGATGGTGGTTCCAGCATTTGGGTCCCTGCTTCCTAGGACCAGTTCTGAATTCTCAGTTCGTGGTTTCAGCCTGACCCAGTCCTAGTTGAGTATTGTATCCAACTGGTAAGTGAACCAATAGATGGGAAATTCTGTTTTTCTCCCTCTTTTTGTCTCTCTGTCTCTCTGCTTTTTCAAAACTGAAGAGCAAATCAGTATGATTTAATCACAGTGAGAACGGTATTCAATTTGATGTTTATGAATTGTTTACTTCTGTAATCATCCATTTAATATCTTCAGATGATGATTGCCCTTGGGAAATTCAAACAGCAGAAAATAAAACCATGGGAGGCACTGTAAACTAACACCCTAAATATAGATTTTACTTTGAGGGTCTGAGCAACCAATTACTGTTCCTGAAAGGGGTAGAATATGCAGTGTTTCTCTATTTTTAGGATTCCAATATATAAAAACAGTCAAGAACAAATCATGGAAGAACATCACTGTTGGCAAGCTGATAAAGTCAATGTTATTTAGATGTGTTTGTATAACAGTGAAACAGAAAAGTATGAAACCACTTGAAGGAAAAAATTAAGATTTTAGCAGCTGGGTATGACATTATGGAAAAATAACACATGAGTTGAATGTTAAAGGTGTGACAGAGGGAGCACAGAAAATACCTAGATTTTCTGCAAAGTGTGCATTTTTTTGATTGGTAGTCTGAGATATCAAGTTAAAAAGCCATCTGTAGAAACAGGAAAGCTGAAAAAGTAGATTTGAATAGAAAGGAGGAGAAAACACTGTCAAGAAAGTTATCAGATATTGACCTGATTTACAGTTAGAAAATCCAAGTAGAACTTCCTAGCAGGTATGCTGATTGTCAAGGTAGCTGATTGTGAAGTGAATCAAAACCAGAAACACATCCTGGGGAGGTGGGAAAGGAATGAAGGATACAGAGTGCAGTTGGATTGGAAGAGTAACTGCCAATGTTCTACCTCACAGTAGGGTAACTCTGGGTGACAGTTGCTTCCAAACAGCTGGTTGAGAAGATTTTCAGTGTTTCCAACATGAAGATATGGGAACTGTTTGAGGTGATAGAGGTGCAGGTTATCCTGATCTTCTCTTCAGTCATTATACACACATATTGAGATGTCACACTGTACCCCGCAAATCTGTACAATGTGTCAATCAAACAAAATTTAGCAAATAGGTATTTGGCCTGGAAGTTAAGATTCCAGCCTGGATATTTGCATTTTAAAAGACTTATTTTACTTATTTGAAAGACAGAGTTACACACAAAGGGTAAGCTTGAAGGACAGAGGTCTTCCACTCACTGGTTTACTCCCCAGATGACCACAATGGGCAAGGCCAAGGCTACAATCGACCAGGCCCAAGTCAGGAGCCAGGACCTTCATCTAGACCTCCCATGCAGATGATAGAGACGCAAACAGGTGTATTAGCAGAGAGCTGGCTTAGAAATGGAACAGCTGGGACTCAAGCCAGTGTCCTTGTGGGATGCTGGCTTTACAGATTATCCAGTACATCACAACACTGGCCACCTTAATAAATTTTTAAATTTAAAAGATTTAGGGGCTGCAATAGATTAAACTTTTATCTGTGACACTGGCATCATATATGGACACCAGTTTTAGTCTAAGTTTCTATAGTTCTGATCTAGCTCCTTGCTTATAAGCCTGGAAAAGGAGTGGGAGATGGCCCAACTGGTCCCTGCCACCCCTGTGCTAGACTGGGATTGAGGGTCTGGCTCTTGGCTTCAGCCTGGCCCATCTCTAGCTGTTGAGACCCTTTAGGGAGTGAACCATTTACGGAAGATTCCCTCCTTCTTTCTATCTTTATCTATCTATATATCTTTGTAACTTTGTCTTTTGGATAATTTAATAAACCAAAAGATAAATATGCATACTCATATATCCCAAGAAGCATTTCTTTCTTATTTTTTTAAGATTTACTTATTTTCATTTGGGAGGCAGATTTACAGATAGAAGGAGAGACAGAGAAAGATCTTCAGTCTGCTGTCTCCAAATGGCCACAATGGCCAGAGCTGATTTGACCTGAAGTCAAGAGCAAGGAGTTATCTCCCGGTCTCCCATGCAGATGCAGGGTCCTAAGGCTTTGAGCCGTCCTCCACTGCTTTCCCAGGCCACAAACAGGGAGTTAGATGGGAAGTGGAGCAGTTGAGACATGATGGCATCCTATATGAGACATGATTGGGTGCCCATATGGGGTCCCAGTGCTTGCAGTGGGGAAGATAAACCAATTGAATCATTGTACTGGACTGTCTTCCCCCAACCCCACAAGAAGCAAAAACGTTAGATTATGCTGTTGTCACAAATGAACATACCAAGGGAAAATATGAGTGTAACTGAAAGCTGAAAAGCTTGCCAAAGAAAAAGACCCAGAAAAGTAACACGTGATGTCACATCAGGTACCGTGTTTCTATATTTGACTAGAAAACTTGGGCCCCACCACCCATGTATGAGCCTGGGGAGGACTTCCTGGCCCTTGGTTCCCAACGTTGCCTGGTTCAGACCTGTCCTGTTGTGGACATTTTGGGGAGTGAGCCAACAGACTGAAAACACTGCTGTGTGTCTCTCCCTTTCTTTCTGTAATTCTGCCTTTTAAACAAACACATAAATGTTAAGAATAAATAGCTGAGTATGTTCAGAAAATTTCTCCATATATATTGCTAGTTTGGGATGACAAATATTCACATGTTTTTGCTTCTCAATTCTCTTCTTTTCTTACCAAAAATGGTGATGTTGCTATAGATCCTAAATCTGTTGTTTTCAAAACTCTTGGGTTGTTATGGAGATCTCTTATGCACAATACTGCAAGAGAACAATAACTGAGAAAAGCCTATCAGCATAAAAGCACATTTGAAATTCCATACAATATGCCACTTCCGTCCTCCACCCCAGAGGTGAAGAGGGAGAGACACACACAGAGTTTCTATTTGTTGGTTCACTCCCAAAAATGTTTGCAACTGGGCCAAAGATAGGAACTGGGAACTCAGTCCAGGTCTGCAATGTGGGTGACAGGGCCCGTGTTACTAGGGCCATCACTGTTGCCTCCCAGGATCTGCATATACATGAGTCTAGGGTAAGGAAACAGAATCAGTTATCAAACCAAGGCACCCTTATAAGGCACTAGGATATCTTAGCTGCTGGACAAAATATCCACCCCCACTTTCTTCATGTTTGAGGAAATGCAAATACCACCTTCATCCTAAAGCAGAAGAGGAAGCACCAGAAAAGAGGCAAGCGTCTAGAACCACAGAATATTTATGTGCTTCACAGACCTCCATTTGATTGAGTTTGAAGATTGAGCTTCAAGACAAAAACCACGTCAAAGATGTGGCGAACATATTTTTTGTTAAAATCCCTAAGCAGAGAATGTGACTCTCCAATTCTGTCCATTGAATGGAAATGACAGAGAAGAGTCTACTGACCTTTCCAAGCTCTTAGACACCCTCGGCCCTGTTTTATATGGAGTGTGTGTGTGTGTGTGTGTATTTGGTGACATTTGGAGCCATTTGTTAGCACAGCCGAATTTGTAAAAGCTAACGTAGCCATCTGTACATCAGTACAACTGAGCAGCATCTTAGTATAATTCCAAGTTTTTTCCAAGCTGATTGAATTACCCTCTTTGCAATGTAATGTTGCTAGGGTCCAGACAGAAGAGGAAAAGGGTGTGCTATGTAAGCAAACATCTATGGCTGCTACATGGTGATTAATGAGTCAGCAGGTTTAGGATTTTTGAGACATGCTAGTAAAGAAGCAACTGCTCTGAAACATCTCCTAATTATTCTCTACATTTCTATGTCATTTCTTGAGTTTGGGACTTTCACTCAGAGACCTATTCCAGCCCGACAGCTGAGACAGAGCAGCTTGACTTTAAAAGGTGAGGACAGGATCTTAGGAGACATTTGAGCATACAAGGGCCAGGAGCAGGTGCTCCATGCTCTTTCTCTGGTTTTGTACTTACCAAAGGAATTCTTCCTGCAAGAGGATTTAACTAGTGCTCATGTCCATGCACACCTGGGATCTCTCTGTCTTCAGTGGAACATACATGCTTCATTAACTGGACAGTTTTACCACATCAATGTCATTCTTTCCAGATAAAAACTATTTTCTTTGTCTTTGAGTGCCCTGATGTTTTTGTGAAATAGACATTAGTTTCTTCAATAATCCTTTTCTGCTGCTGAATCTCAACAGGAAACTGTCCGGGGAGATTTTTTTCCTCCGCTAGTAGATTAGTCTAGCAACTCTAGACAAGGATTGTCCAGGTCATTTATCATATTTCACCACAGGATATGGAAACTTACATGCTCACTCTGTTTGGTTTTTTTTTTTATTTCCTGTTTTAAAATAAAAACAGTTCACTCTAAATTCTTTTAAAAAAAATAATGCAAATTATTTTCCCCCAAGCTGAAACTGAAAATTTGGGTTTGGTTTTGTTTTTATTTTACAAAATCTGTAGGGAGAAGGAAAAACCTGGCAAATCAGTGCTGTTTCATTGTATTATAATGTAGAAGTACAGAAGGCCTTGTTTACATCACTAATTTTGCATTGTTGGAAAATTTTACTCATTTGCCAAAGGGGATTGCTCAGATTAATACTTTGAATTCTAAAGCATTTGGAGAAACTAGCTAGATAGATAGAGGTATGTCTAGGTATAAACACAATCATACTTCACTTACCAGTAAAGATATGGGTCTGGCACCATGACCAACTATGTTAAGCCACCGGGTTCAGCACCAGCATTCCCATATGAATACTGGTTCAAGTACTGGCTGCTCTACTTCTGATGTAGCTAATGTACCTGGGAAGGCAGTGGGAGATGGCCCAACACCTGGGCCCCTATCACCCATCTGGGAGTGACTGATGGAATTCCAGATTCCTGGCTTTAGCTTGGTCCAGTTCCAGCTGATGCAGCCATTGGTGAATTTCTCTCTCTTGCTCTCCTCCCAACCCCCCCCCCATGACTCTGTTTTTAAAATAAACAGATCAATCTTAAAATAAAAATGATGAAGATACATTCTGAGAAATATGTCATTAGGCAGCTTCCTCAGTGTACAATCATCAGAGTGTACTCACAGATGATATCTAGATTATATTGCATCTGAATTGCAAACCTGTGCAGATATAATTGTACTAAATACTGTAGAGATGTATAACAAACTGGTATTTCTGCATATAAACATATCTAGGATAGAAAACACATAAGAAAAATGTAGTATGAAACATAAAAAGTGACAGAGCACTTACCACGAATGGAGCTTGCAGGTGCTCTGGGTGGGTTAGTGAGTGTTGAGTGAAGGGGAAGGCCTAGGACACCATGGTCCATCATTATAAACTACGCACACATTCTACACTTCAACTGCACTACATTTATAGCAAAAGCTACTGTAACTTTTATACTTCATGAAAATTTTTAATCTTGGATTAGTATCTCTCTTAAAACACAGACACATTTGTTAGCAGATAATGTATCATAGACATTTCTCTATGAATAAAACCCTTCCAATATTGGGGTTTTCAAACTTAAAAAACATTTATTTTCCATGGAGTAGATGAACCAAAGCTTTCTTATCTAATCTTCTGCTGATGGGCATTTTGGTTGCTTCCATGTTTTTGCAATTACTGATTGTGCTGCTATGAACATAGGGGTGCATGTTGGTTTGTCGTGAAACAGGTGCTTTGAATATATTCCTAGGAGTGCTATTGCTGGATCATATGGTATGCAGATTTTGAGTTGTTTGAGTGTTCTCCAGACTGATTTCCATAAAGGCTGTACTAACCTGCCTTCCCCATCTCTTTTGATACCTTTTACATTAAAGTTTGTTGTCTAATTAAAAAAAAAAACATTTATTTTCATTTTCTTTGAAAGACAGAGAGCTAGGACTGATGGTGTGACATTTTCCTTTGGCTGGCTTGGTCTCCAAATGTCCACAACAGCCAGGGTTGGGCCAGGTTGGAGCCAGGAGGCTGTAACTGAATTTGTCTCTCCTTCTGGTACCAGGAACTCACCTATTTGAGACACCACCTGCTACTACCCACGGTGCGCATTAATAGGTAACCAAATGGGAAACCAAAGAGCTGTGACAACCAGGCGACTCAACAGGGAATTGCAGATATTCCAAGCTGTGATAATGCTACACCAAACAACCACCCTATGTTTTCACATGTTTTCAGAAACTTGCTGAAATCTGCAAAAGCTTCTGCTAAATCCTTCAGTGTGAATTTATTGGTTTTTTTTTTTTTTTTCCTTTTTTGGCTATGTGCTTTCTCTTGCCTCTTTTTCAGCTATGCTTTCATTACACAAAAAAGGTTTCATTGTCTTATAGTATCATTGTCTGAATGTTGTCTATTATTGGCAGAACATTGTTACGCAGTGCATGACTATATATAACAAATGTATAAAAATCTCATGAGCTGATATTTAGAAAAATCCAACCCTTTGCTAACCCATATTGCTAACAACAAATACTTGTAGATTTGCTTTAAAAATGAAGATTTATTGGGTCCCACACTACAATCTAGTGCCACAGCCCTTGCCTTGCCTGCACCGGGATCCCATATGGGCGCCAGTATCTCATGGGTATCAGCTCTAATCCCAACAGCCCTGCTTCCCATTCAGCTCCCTGCTCATGACCTGGGAAAGCAGTCAAGGATGGCCCAAAGCCTGTACCTGCGTGGGAGACCCGGAAAAAGCTCCTGGCTTTAGATTGGTGTAGCTCCAGCCGTTGTGGCCACTTGGGGAGTGAATTATCAGACGGAAGATCTTCCTCTCTGTCTCTTCTGTACATCTGACCTTCCAATAATTAGTAAATAAATCTTTAAAAAATGAAGATTTATCATAGCATTATTTATGAATGTCTCAAAACTCAAGATTTTCTAAATACATCTTTGGAAGGTTTGGGCATTTTGTGTTCCCTATAAAGTTGGTTTATACATGTTTTTGGGAATAATTCAAGCAATATTCAATTGCCAATTAAAATTTCACATGAATAAAATCTGAACTGTTGTAAATCTTTTGACTTGGCTGGGGCAACCAAATTGCCCTCTATTGACATGTAACTGCATTTGCAAAGCAAGCCAACATTTTTATTTAGATCAAATATTTTGAATGTCGCTAAATCTTCCCAAATCTATATTAAGGGTTGACATTTTATCTTGGATGAATCTAATGTAAAAATCCTCACATTTATAAAACTGCATCTCTCCTCAGCTCATTTGCCTCATTTGTTTCATATACTTCCAAAGGCTGCTCTGAAAGCATGACTGCGCAACTTTTTCTTTCCGGATCTTTATATGGGCTATAAAAATGGGTGCGGTACTTCAAGAAATTTGTGGGAAAAAGAACTGATAAGTTTATTTTTAGTGTAAATTTTTAAAAAGATTTATTCATATTTATTTGTTGATATTTTAAAGATTTATTTGTTTTTATTGCAAAGCCAGATATTCAGAGAAAGGAGGAGAGACAGAGAGGAAGATCTTCTGTCTGATGACTCACTCCCCAGTGACTGCAACAGCTGGAGCTGAGCTGATCCAAAGCCAGGAGCCAGGAGCCAGGAGCCAGGAGCTTCGTCTGGGTCTCCCATGTGGGTGCAGGGTCCCAAGGCTTTGGGCCATCCTTGACTGCTTTCCCAGGTGATAAGCAGGGAGCTGGATGGGAAGTGGGGCTGCTGGGATTAGAACTGGTACCATATGGGATCCTGGCATGTTTAAGGCAAGGACTTTAGCTGCTAGGCCAACGTGCTGGGCCCTAGTGTAAAATTTTTAAGTGTATGCATACAAGGGAGTCTTACAGCAAAACAGCTTGCTGGGGGAGGGCAGTATTGTGTTGTAGCAAGTTAAATTGCCACCCTGCCTGCAACGCTGGTATCTGACACTGGCTGTTATCTTTTTGTTTGTTTGTTTTGTTTTATTTTTAGATTTACTGTTATTTAAAAGGCAAATTTGCAGAGATTTTCCATCCACAGCTCCACTCCTCAAATGACTTCAGAGCTGAGCTGAAGTGGAGCTCAGGAGCTTCCTCCTGGTCTCCCAGGTGGATGCAGGGACCCAAGGACTTGGCCCATCCTCAGCTACTTTCTCAGGCCACGAGCAGGTGGCTGGATGTGAAGTGGATTAGCCAGGGCACAAGCCAGTGCCCATAGGGAATTTCAGCACTAGGAGGCAGAGGAAGAGACTGCTATAACAGCTCTCTAGCTCCTATTCCACTTTTCATTCAGTTTCCTGCTAATGCCCCTGGGTAAGCAGTGAAAGATGGCCCAGTTGGTTGGGTTCGTGCCACCCATGTGGAAGCCGAAATCCAAAAGGAACTTCTTGTTCCTGGTACCACTCTAGCTTGGCCCTTGCCATTATGACCATTTGAGGGGTAAAACAGAGACGAAACATCTCTCTAAGTCTCCCTTCTCTCTAACTCTACCTTTAAAATAAGCAAAACAAATCTCTAAAAAAATTGTAATGAACAATATGTACATTTTGAGAAGAAATTGAATTAAATGAGCTGGAAATTCAGTTAATGTGATATTCTAATGGAGAGAATTATTTTAACTGAACTTAGAAACAGCGTTACTGTAAATTTTCAGTGAGGCATGCTATAAAGACAAAAGAGTTATCCAGAAATTTCACACTTCATTCAACAGCTAATGTGGGGGAAAATATCTGTATTATTATTTTTAGAATCAGCCATATGCCTATTATAAGATAAAGCAATTATTGATGTATTAATTTTCTTAGCTACCAATAGTTTAGTATGAGCAAAAAGAGATATGAAGATAAAATTTAAAAGGTTAAGACTAAATCTTACCATTGAATGGGATACAAGTGAGTACAGAGGAGTTTTCTCTTCTTCCTTAAAACATATATATCCTGACTCTGTGCAAAGAAAAGGCTTAGGAGCAAGCCTTCCTTATTGGGAACATTTGGGGTGTTTTAACATGATTTCTCACTAAAAGGGATCTTTGAAGAAATGGCTGACTGCAGAGCTGCTCGACTGTCTAACAAGCTCCCTGCTAATTCACCGCAGAAGTAACAAAGGATGACCCATGTACTGGACGCCTGCACACACATGGGAGATCCAATCGGAGCCCCAGGCTCCTGAATTCAGTCCTGTCTGGCCTTAGCTAATGATGCCATCTGGGGAGTGAACCAGTGGATGGAAACCTTTCTCGCTCTCTCTCTGCCTCCATGCCTTTCAAATAAATTAATTAAAATCTTTCAAAAAGTACATTAGGGGCTGTGTTGATGTTATGGTGTGCTAGAGTGTAAGGACATTACCAAAGACTGTGGAGTCCTTGGAAAAGGAAGTAGGAAGAGGTTTAAGGATTCTTCCGCTGCCCAGCATGGGGTTATTCGAATATCAAAAAGAATTGTGATCACCAATTTGGGTGAAGCATACTGAATTGAGTAAAACTTGTGAGTTTCAATTGAAAGGGGAAAAAGGAAAAGGGTGTGTGTGAATGTTGTGTTTTGAATGATATGTGGCTCCTCAAAGTCATGCAAACATTCAAATCTGTGTTATGTTAGTGGTTCATGAGTTCAGGTTAATAGATTAATGATAAAAACTTGATCCATTGGTGGTGTCAGGGAAGCAGACCTCCTGGGAGATATTTAAGCCTAGTTTAACCCAGCTTCTCTCTCTGCTTCGTGATTTACCACATGCTCCTCCCTCTGAACACATTCTTTCCTTACGAGGTTGCCTGATGTTGGACTTCAGACTTCTGCAACATTGCAAGCCAGAAAAAGCCTGCCTTTGCAAGAAGCTCTTCTCAGGTATTTCAGTTGAAGTAGTAAGAACAAAACAAAACAAAAAACCAAAAAATACTAATTCAGCAAGAGAGAAAGAAACGAGAAGAGAAAGGAAGGAAAGATAAAACAAATTCATTGAACGTCATTGGCAGTGTCTATGGCACTAACTCATTCTTGTTTTTAATTGGATGGCAGGCACGCAGGAAGAAGGAGATACACAAGGAAAGATCTTCTGTCTGTTGGTTCATTCTCCAAGTGGCCACAACTGCTGGAGATGAGCTGATCCTATACTAGGAGGCAGGAATTTCTTTTGGGTCTCCTACAAAGGTACAGCGTCCTAAGACTTTGCGCCATCCTCCACTGATTTCCCAGGTCACAAGCAAGGAGCTGGATGGAAAGTGGAGCATCCTGGATACGAATTGGTACCCATATGCACGGAAGGCTAGGACTTTAGCCACTAGGCTATTGTACTAGGCCCAAACTCATAATAATTAACTTTTAAAGGTGAAGAAATAGCATTTTTTAAAAATAGATTTATCTTTATTGCAAAGTCAGGTATACATAATGAGCCCCAGGCACCTACATCTGGCCTTCCCCTTGCTGCCCTACCACCACCTTAGTCCTGTTCCTGCTCCCCTGGAGGCAACTCCATGTTCCCTTTCCCTTCTTGTTCTTTCCACCACCCCTGTTCCGTTTGTGCCCCGCTGGAGTAAACCTCCTGAAGTGCCTCCTTGCATCTGGTGTTTTAGGAAAGTGCCTTATTGCATCTGGTGTTTTCTGCTCACGGTGAAGAACCAGGCTGCAGGAGTTAGCTGGAGTAATAACGTAAGAACTGCAAAAACTCTTAACTTTTTAAATACTAGCACTATGAGCTAAGTTTCAGTTTATGTTGAACTAACTCAAGGGAAAATCTGAGCAAGATAGTTCTGAAGAAAAAATGCAATTAGAACAAAATTCCCATTTTCCATCTTCACCTGAATTATTTTAATTTCATCAATATTTTTGAAATCAGCTAAAAGATTGTTAGGAAATTTATAATTTAAAAAATATGGCTGTTACCACCTGACCAATCTTTGCATCACTAACTTAAAATAGCCAAGGGCAGGCATTTGACTATTTACCCACTATTTGGGATGCCTGTATTTCACACCTGAGTTTCTGAGTTTGAATCCTCCTTCCTGCTAATGGGCATATAGAAGATAGCAGGTGATAAAATAAGCAGAGAGGTTCTCGTTCCCCAGTTGCGAGGCCTGGATTGATTTTCCAATATAGGCTTTTGTGCAGTTTTGGACATTTAGGGAGCAAACCACTGGATG